TAAAATATAGCCGTAAAACGGGGTTACTTTGAAATAGTTTGAATGTAACTTCTTTATTTGTTGCAATATTTTCTTGAAAAAATTAGCATCAGAACAATTGATCCCTTGACTTTAACAAACTTAAAATTTTGCCTCAAGGTCATAATTTTTCAAAAAAAAAAAAAGTTGGTGTCAAAAAAACCCCGACTTTGGGGCTATTTTGACATTCCCTTTAATTACGTTGAAAATCAAAGTTATGCTAGCCTGGGGGGTACTTTGACACCTTCAAACTAAAAATATGTAATATATGATGTAAATAAACTTTATTAAACTCATTAAACACAAAACTTTTTATTTGTATTTTCTTAAAAAAAATGAAATAAGTCATTTTTTGGTATGTTGTGGCTTTTATATGGCATAAAAATAAAATAAACATAATTTTGGTACCATAACGTGTCAAAGTAACCCCATTTTATTGAGAAAATAATAATTCAATAGTGCGACTCTTAAAGCATTTTTTTTGTTTCACGGGAAGTAATTAAATTTTTCTTAATTGACTTTTTGTAGTAAGTTACAAAACTAGGGAAACTTTTAAAACACGATTTCACTGACGCTAATTACCTATAATTAACGACATTACTTTCAATTAACCACCTGGTCTCTGACATATTTATTCGAACCCTAATTTAAAGAAATAAATAAAAACAAAAAGTGGGTTTAAGTAAAAAAAAATCATTGATATATTTTTAAATAACCTAGTTGATTAAAAATGTATAAATAAATTTACTCTTACATCGAATCGAACCAAAATGGTTTCACTTCTCATAAAAAATCAATATTCCACAGTCGCCATTATCAAAGGGTGGTGATATCACCCCTATACCATCTGCTATTATTGTATCGTCAATTCGTCACCCACCCATCTCAAAAATCCATCATGGTTGCACCCCCCACAAACTCTAAAATTCTTCCAAACCGAAAAACTAGTTTCTCGGTATTTTTCAAGGGGTTGAAATTATTTCAAATAACTAGTCCGGCGACTTGATTTTCACACGGATCTCTTCCAATTTTAATACACTGACCACCGGTCAGCAATTGTAACTGACCTGTTCTAAACCTGATCAAGCTTTGAAAAAATAAATGTATTTAGATCGGTACAGGTTTAGGGTCTGAGAAAATTTTCGAAAAGTCGCTGTGAGGGAATTGGGTAAATTATAAGTGTCGTGAAGGTTTATTGGGGCGGTTGGGGACGCAGTTGGGCTTGTGATCAGTGGAAAATTGGTAAAAAAGTGAGAAAATCGTGAAATAAATAGTGCTTTTTTTATAATCAACTAAAAACAATTGGATTTAAAATTTCAGTAAGTTTTTTACCTTAATTTTAAGCCCATATTGCGAAACGTGAAACGTGTGTTTTTAAACAATAAAATATATAAAAAAAAGTAAAAAA